GGCGCTGGGGAGTGCACTGGCGCGCGAGGCGCGTGAGGGCGGCCCGATGCAGGTGGCGCGGCGGTGCTGGCGGAGGCCGCCTCCGATGCCGAGCGGCCAGAGTTCGGCCCCGACGCGCTGGCATCGTGTCGGCACGGCCTCTTCGCGCGCGTCTGCCGGCAGGGGCAGCGGCAGCAGCTGACGTGGCAGATGGAGGAGCTCTGGGCGATAGCCGAGGACGCGGAGCGCGCACAGACTTCAGACACGAGCGTGCTGCCGAATGCGGCGGAGTTGTCGGTGAAGAGGGTGGCGGTTGCGCTGGTCGCGGAGGACCGTGAAGAGCGCGGTGGGCAGGATACTTCGAGGGAGGCGTCCGTGCACGGCCGCTGCCCTCGATGCCCGCGGCGGCTCGATGCCCCGCGGCGGCGCGGTCGGAAGGCGGTGGGAGGCTCCCGCCGTGAGATCGCGCCCCGACAGGGAGCCCCGCTCTCGCGCGGAGGGCCCCGCCCTCGCGGCCGGACGAGGCCGCGCACGCGCGCGACGACGATGCCGCGCCGCCCGGTCGCGAGCTGCCGCGGGGCGGCCGCTGCGCGAGCGGCGCGGAGCGGCGCGCCGCCGGCCCCGCCGAGGAGGCGCTCGCCACGCGGGCGTGCCGCGGCCCGGGCGGCGGGAGCCGCTGCCCGGCCAGCGGGCCGACTCGAGGGGCCCTGGATCCCAAGCGGGCCGGCGTCCGCCCTCCGCCCACGGCCCCGCGGCCGTGCCGCGCCCGCCGGCCTGCCGCCGAGGGCGAGAGGGCGAGAGGGCGAGAGGGCGAGGCCCTGGTGCTGGTGGCGCCGGCCCTGAGCGTCGCAGCGCGCGCGGCCGAGGCCTCGGGGGCCGGGGCGGCGGCGAGCCGGGCGGCGGACGAAGCAGGCGGAGGAATCGGGCGGAGCTGGGCCCTCCTGGGCAAGGAGGCGCCGCAGACGCTCCTCTCCGCCCCTCCACAACCTCCTGCCCCTCCCTCGTTCCTCCAGGCCTTCCTGGCCGGTCAGGCACTGTGGCCTCCCAGGAAAACGGCGTGCACGAAGCTCGTCAAGATGATGGCCAGCGTGTTTGCGAAATTCTTCCAGATGTTGTCGGCGTACTTGATGACGACGGCAACGATTAGGCCACCGAACGCGTTGTTGCAGATCGACAGCCAGACTATGCCAGTGTACCCATCGGTGAAATGCGCCAGACTCCCTGGCGCGCGCCACGCCCACACTCCCGACTGCATCGCCCACGTCCGCTCCACCCTTTCCGCATCTCGTCTTCCACGTCCCCCGCTTTCTCCTCGCCCCTTCTCTTCCACCCCTCCCCTTCCCCGCCCCCTCCCTCTCCTCATCCCCCTCCCCGGCCTATCTGCCTTCTGCCTCTCCCGGTACCCCGTGCTCCGACCCCAGCCCAGTGCCCCCGCCCGACTCCGCTCCGTGCTCGTGACGAGACGAGACGAGACGAGCGCGCGATGTCGGTCCAGCGGGACCGGCCCTACGAGGGCAGCGCGGGGGGGCCGGGGCCCTCAGAAGACGTGTTGCGAGCAGAAATCGGAGAGATGGATGTTGGAGACTCTTTGAGGGAGAAGAAGGAAGTCCCCCATGTAGTCGTGAAAGCCGTCCTCCATCTAGTCGAGAAAGCCGTGCTCGTGCTTACCCCTCGACATCCGAGCTTCCAAGTCCCCCCGACACACCGTGCCCCCTGGGCCCCCAGCCCCCCTTCGCGCCCCACAGTGCCAGTGGCCTGCGTTTTCCGGCCCTGTTCCCCTCCCCGCCTCGATCCCTGCCGCCGTCCCTGTCGCCATCCCCGTTACGTTCCCCCTCCTCCTGCTCCTCCTCCTCCTCCTCCTCCTCCTCCTCCTCCTCCTCCTGCTCCTGCTCCTGATCCTCCTCCTCCTCCTCCTCCTCCTCCTCCTGCACCCAACTCTCCCCTCCCACCTCCTCATTTCCTTCTCGCCCTTGCCTTCCGCACTCGCCTCTTCGAGGGGGAGGAGGGGGAGGAGGAGGAAGAGGAGGAGGAGGAGGAGGAGGACGAGGAGGAGGAGGAGAAGGAGGAGGAGGGGCAGGACGAGGTCGAATAAAAAAGAAGAGTTCTGAGGGAAACGGGCCCTTGGAACCAGGGGGTCTCCCCAGGACCAGCTCACCAATCATGACTCGCCCTTTGACGGTCTTGGGGCCCGTCGAGGGCCCCCACACTGCGAGGAACTTTCGGGACCCGTTTCCCTGAGGACCCCTTTGATGCATCAGAAGGCAGACGAACCGCCTTCGTGAAGAAACCGATCCGGAAGCCATGTCCAGCAAACGCCCGGAACTGCTCGGGGAAGGCCAACTCTTCATGGGGGCCGGGGCGGCTTCTCCATCCCTCCCTCGTGGCGGGGAGAAGCCACTGGCGCCCACCTTCGGCGCGGTAGAAATTGACGAGGCCGATGACCACCGAGTAGCTCGCCAGCTGGAGGTTCCGGGCGGCCAGCGTGACCGTGGACCTGGGGCGGCGCAGGCGGGAGCGCGGAGCGCCGCTGGAGTGCACCTCTCTCGGGCGAAGTGGCCGGGAGGCGCTGGCGCCCCGAGGCCCCCGCGGGCTGGGCGTCGCCACTTGGGCCGGCCCCGAGCCCGAGTGGAAACGCCTGGGTGACGTAAAGCCTCTGAGACGGGGAGACTCGTGGAGATCTGGGGAGGGCTGGGGAGGAGGAGGAGGTGCTGGAGTACGGGCGTTTGGCGGGACACAGCGCAGGCAGTGGTCACGCCACGCAGATGCGTCCGCAGCGCTGGAGTCTCATGCCGGGTCCACGCAAGTTGTGCCTCTTTCAAGGGGGGGAGGATGAGACGGAGGAGGATGAGGAGGAGGGTGATGAGCTGCAGGAGGAGGAGGAGGAGGAGGAGGAGGAGGAGGAGAAGGAGGAGGAGGAGGAGCAGGAGCAGGAGGGAGGAGCAGGAGGGAGGAGGAGAGGAGGAGGGAGCAGGAGGAGGAGGAGAGCAGGAGGAGGAGGAGGAGCAGAGGAGGAGGAGGAGCAGGAGCAGGAGGAGGGAGGAGCGGGGAGGAGCAGGAGGAGGGGAGGAGCAGGAGGAGGAGGAGGAGGGAGGAGGAAGAAGGATGAGGAAAGAAGAAGGATGAGAAGGCAGATCGTGTGTCCTTTCAGGGTGGCGTGGGGTGGGGTGGTGGGGGGGGGGAGGAGGCGCGCGCGCTGCGGCTCCCCCCCCCCCCCCCCCCAGTCGAGCGCGCGGAGGGCCTGCCCGCCCCGCTGGCTCTGCTGCCGTGCGCGTCCTAGCCGCCTCCTCCTCCTCCTCCTCCTCCTCCTCCTATTCCTCCTCCTCCTCCTCCCCTCCTCCTCCTCCTCCTCCTCTCCTCCTCCTCCTCAGCGCGCGCCCTGGGGGCGCACGGGCGACCGCCTCCCCGCGCCCGCCGCGGGGGCGGGCCGCGGCGGGCCAAGGCCACCGCCCGACGTGCTGGGCGCCCGAGCGCGAAGCCGCAGGGGTCGTCCACGGCTCGGCCGAGCTGCTCAGCCCACGACGACGACGACGACGACGACGACGACGACGACCACGACGACGACGACGACCACGACCACGACGACGACGACGACGACGACGACGACGACGACGACGACGACGACGACGACGACGACGACGACGACGACGACGACGACGACGACGACGACCGCGACGACGACGACGACGACGACGAAGACGACGACCACGACGACGACCACGACGCGACTCGTCGCTGCAAGGGGACGGGCCAGCTAGCGGCCTGCGTGGGTTGGCCATGGCCGCTCAGGTGGATAGGCACGGCGTCGGCGAACCCCATCACGGGCATTCGGCCCTTGTCCAGCCGGGCGAAAACGCACCTGCCCTTGTCGCCCAGCGCAGGGCGGCAGTCTTTCCTGAAGCCGCCCGCCCTCGCCAACGCCGTGGCTCAGCGCACGACGTGCAAGATGGAGGGCACCTCGCGTTTCGGGAAGCCCTCGGACTGGACATGGACAGCCACCAGCGCGTGGTCCACGCCCGACCGCTCCAGCTCGCGGTTCACGCTGAGTACCACGGAGCACGTGTCTCCACTCCACACCACCGGCATCGCAGCGTAGATCATGGTAGAACTTAGGCCTTCTGTGGCTTGGCCTTGTGGCGCGTGGTTTCTTGCCCGCCATTGCAGGAATCCACTCTTCCGCGCCACGTCGACACGCCGCCCACGAGCATGCGAGACTGCATCAGCCTGACCCGCTGCTCGGCAGGAAGGCGACCGAATGCCGCCGCCGACTTGGCCGCCACATCAGCGTGCTGGTTGCCCATCCAATCGCGGTGGCTGATTCTGCCAGACTCTGCGTCGCGAGCGATGGAGTGCGACTTGGCCCAATGCACTCGTAGCCCCTGCTCCTTAACGCCCCCGTAGTCGTCGATCTGATCCTACAAGGCTTTCCACAGGTGAGACCATGCAAAGGCATGGTGCGCAGTGACATCTCACCCAAATCCACCATCTCTGCGAAGACCAACTGGAAGTCCATTACGGTTTCCAGCGACGGCAGACTGTGACGCGTCAACACGACGAGGACCATCAGCTTACACTGAAACCCCTGATGCTGGCATGAAATGCTGTGATCTGTCGGGCCCCAGCATCGTAACACTTTGGCCCGCGCTCTCGCAGCCGTCAAACTCCGCCTCGAACGCCGAACCGTCGAGAAAAGCTTTCCCCAGCGGGATCAATTCATGGCGCTCGCCCTTCAAGCATACCCACGTCAGCGCTCCTCACAGGCTGACTAAAGCCACGCAGGGATAGCAACAGGAAGCGCTCCAGCAACCGGTTCTCTTCCTCCAAGTCAGCACGCGCTCCGCGGGCCTTGACGCGCTCGGGCAACGCCAGGGAGTCCTGCAAACCTTCGTATTCGCAGTGCCTTTGCAGCAGCGTCCTGCGCGCGCCAGGCAAATCAAACAAATGCCCGAGTCCGCCATGCCCGCATCTGCCTTCCTCGCCTGCGGCCGCTGCGTGTTTGTGACAAGCGTCTGAGCGCTTTCTCCTCCCCCTCCCCCAGCATAATAGCAACACCCACGGTTCAACGCCACTTGTTGGCGCTGGCGATGGCACGACGCGGCAACTTCCTGAAGGGCCAGGGGGATGCGTCGAAGATCAGCCGCTCCTCGCCCGTGTGCATGCGCTGCGTGCTGGCGGCTCATCAGTCCCCATATGTGGCGCGGGGCCGCACCTTCCCAGATAGCTCGCAAGAGCGTGGCACGGCAAATAGGGTCCAGCTCGAAATGCAGCATGAGCGCCAGCGTGCGCGACAGACCTGCAGTGCTGGACGACCTCGCTGCGCATAGGACAGCAACCTGGCCTTGTCCAACTCGCCCTGCGCGCAGCCCGTGGCCCCGAAGCCCTGGGCGGCGCGGGCCTCCACCCCGGCCCTGGCCACCCTCAGCGCCGCCACTCTACGAGCACTGCCTGCCTTGGTGCTGCAGCGACGCGCCAAGCGCCGCGACCTCTGCTTGGCCACCTCATCCTCCTCCCCCTCCTCCTCCTCCTCCTCCTCCTCCTCCTCCTCCTCCTCCTCCGCTCCTCCTCCTCCTCCTCCTCTCCTCGTCCTCCTCGTTCTCCTCCTCCTCCTCCTCCTCCTCCCCCTCCTCCTCCTCCTCCTCCTCCTCCTCCTCCTCCTCCTCCTCCTCCTCCTCCTCCTCGGCGCGGACCGCTCCCACCGTGCGCCTGCCCCGCCAGGGGGCGCCGCAGCATGGACGGCGCGCCGCTTGCCCAGCGGCGCGGCGAGCAGCGCCGCCTGGAGGCAGCGCGTCGCCCGCCGTCGCCGGACGGGGTGGTCTGCTCCGCCTCGACCTCCTCACACGCCGCCTCGCCCAGGACGGACATCCCTCGGCGCTCGGTGCGGCTCAGTCTGCTGCCGCACCTGCTCAAGCGCATTGCGCAAGAGCCGCGGCACGTTGGTGGGGTGGGAGGGGAAACGGCACCGAGGGCGGGGAGGAGGGCGAGGACGAGGAGAAGGAGGATGATGAGGAACACCGAGCAGGGGGGAATAGAGGAGCAGGAGGAAGAGGAGGAGGAGGAGCAGGAGTACGGAGGCTGAGGGACGCAATGTCCCGTAAGGAGGAGGAGCAGGAGGAGGAGAAGGAGGAGGAGAAGGAGGAGTACCAGTGCAAGCCCAAAACTCATCAACGATGTTGAGATACAACCTCCCTCCGAGCTCCCTCTTCAGAGGCCCCATACAAGGATTCACTTTCACTGAAGAAACTGCCCAGTCGGGAGACAACCGTGTGAAAGTCCTGAAGCGTGCCAAGAAACCATCCTCAGGACTTCAAGGCCACGAGTCAAACTAACTGTTGCGTCTTGATGACCCTGAATCGTGCCAGAGTGCCAGTCCTGAGACTTCAAGACCGCGAATCAACGCAACTGTTGCGCTCTGACAATCATGAATCGCTCCAGAACACAACTCCTGGAAACTTAACCGTGAGAATCCGCGAAATTCTTGCACATGTTTGAAACGAATGTGCGCGGCGCTAAAGCGGGAACCAAATTTTGAAAACGAACCGCCTTCAATCCGCGAAACTCTTACAAATCTATAACCACAGATGTGCGCGGCGCTAAGGCGAGAACCACATGATGAACACGAACCGCCCTGAATCCGTAAAACGCTTGAATTTTTAAAAACAACAAACAAGGCGCGCAGCCTCAAGGCGAGAACCACCACATTTTGAAAACGAGCCGACCTCAATCCGTGAAGGTTGCAATGCTTGAAATCGAATGTGCGCGGCGCTAAGGCAAGAGCCACATTTTGAAAACCACCCGCCTTCAATCCGCGAAACTCTGGCACGTATTGTTAAACGAATGTGCGCGGCGCGGAAACGAGAACCACATTTTGAAAACTGCTCGCCCTCAATCCGTGAAACTCTTACAACTTTTAAAATCGAGTTTGCGAGTCGCTGAAGCGAGCGCCACATTTTGAAAACCACCCGCCCTTCATCTGTGAAACTGTTGCCAGCTTCTCAGCTTCAGTCTCATCATTGGTACGGAAGTCTCAGCGAAATTCCCAGGCCGCCCTTCCGACCGGCCTCGGGGTGCGACGGAGGAGTTGCTCATAAGAAAAACGAATTGGAGGATGGAGGATGGAGGATGGAGGGGTAGGAGGAAGAGGAGTCGAAGGAGGAAGGCACCAAGGAGGAGGAGGAGGAGGAGGAGGACGACGAGCAAGAGGAGGGGAGGAGGAGGAAGCGGAGGCGGAGGAAGACGAACGACGACGACGAGGAAAAGAAAGAGCAACATAGCCAGCTTTTCTTTGGGCTCCATGCCCCAGCGCCTCCAAGAGCCTGCTACACAACTCAGCGGGCACAGGCACACCACAACGGAGCGAGGTGTGGCGGCTGCAACACGACCAGGAGGAAGATGATGATGAGGACGCGCACCCAGCATTAGGTCGGGCCTGTCCCCCCACAGGCGGGTTTTGGACGAAAGCTTAAACATACCCCAAAAATACCCCCAAATAGTCCAACACGTGTTATAAAAATAGTCCCTGGACTATCTTTTCCTAGTCTTGCATACTCCTCCTGTAGAGGGACAGGCCCGACTTCAACCCAGCGGAGGGGGACAGGTGACGCGGCTCCTCGCGCGCCCGCGGGCCGCGGCCATGCGTCGGAACCTGGGCTCACGCCCTCACGGGGGGGGAAGGCTCCCGGCGTGGCGGCTCCTCCCCGGAGGAGGTGCCACGCCCTGACCCGAGGGGAGGGGGCAGGCGGGAGGGGGAGGGGGGGCCGCCCGTCCCAGGGCCCTGGGCGGTCGGCGTGACCGTGGACCCTGCCCGCCCGCTTGTCGATGCCGCCGCCCCCGCCGACCTGTGCCGCCCTGCCGGGCCCCCGCGGCCGGGGGAGCTGGCCGCCCGCCGAGGCGGGGCGCCCCCCGCCGACCTCGCAGCGCGGCCCGGAGCGACGGCCGCGGCCGAGCGGGCCCGCCTCCCTCCGCTCCCGCTCCGCCCGCTCGGCGCCCGCGCCCCGCGCTCCGCCCCGCGGGTCCACGCGCCTCTCGCTGCGGCCGGAGGTCCGCCCGCGGCCCGCCGGGCCCCCGACCCCCCCCCCCCCCCCCCTACCTGCGGAATCGCGGGGCTTGCTGACCGTCGTGCCTGCGGAGGTTGGCGGCGCGCACCGGCGACGAGCCCGCGCTGCCCTCACAGGGCCGATCAGGGCACCAATGCCGCCGCGTTGGACCTCTCGTCGGGCACTCCAGCGGCAGGCTGGGGGCCCCAGCCCCCGGAGAGGGGCGGCGCGCACAGAGGAGGGCAATGGGGGAGGGGGGAAGGCTTCTTGGAGGGAGGCGGCTGCTCAGATGGCGCCGGCCCTGCCTCTGCAGAGGAGGCCCGCGCCTCCCGAAGGGAAGCAGGGGTGCTTCCACGAAGCCCTCCCCCCTCCCCCATGCCCTCCCCTCTGCGCCCTCCTCCTCCTCCTCCTCCTCCTCCTCCTCCTCCTCCTCCTCCTCCTCCTCCTCCTCCTCCCCCGAGATCTACCGCGCCCAAGGCTGCGCTCGCGAGCGGCTGCCGCGGGCCCTCGACTTGCCCGCCGCCTTGGCTTCCGCCTTGCCCTTGCCTGGCAGGGGCGCCCCAGCAGCCGAGCCTGGCTGAGGAGTGCCGTGGGGTGGTCGCCTGTCGCGCTGTGGCCGACCCGCCCATCCAACGTCCACCCACGTTGGACAGACTGGGAGCAGGCCACCCGGTCTTCACAGGCCCACCCACGGTGGAAGTGGTGGACGTCTTGGAGGTAACACTGAGCTTCTCGTGGTGCGTCTGCCGCCGCACGATCCCGTCGCCAGATCCACGCAAGTGGCCCTGGAAGCAGTCGCCCTCGACTGTCCAGCACCCCTGGTCAATGTGGCCTCGCGTAGATGTTGTAGGATCTGTCTTGCATCTTGCGTGTTCGCTGCCATGTGCACGCAGCGCTCGAAGGAGTAGCTGCCCAACACGTACTAGCAGAACGATGACCCTCGCTGAGGTCAAAGGATCGCTCTCCCTCCCTCTTGCCGCCCGATTTCTGCTCCAGCTTGGCTTTGGCCGCCGCCGCCGTGGATTGTGCCCCGTCCTGCCTCCTGGCTTACCGCCGGGCTTCTCGGCCTCACCTGCAGGCAGAGGAGACGACTGCTTGGGGCAAGGGGGAGCTGGCGGCGTGGCTGGAGTGTCGGATGCTGCCGATTCGGGGTTGGGTTTTCGCTTCTTCTGCGGCAGGCGCTCCTTCTGTTGCTTCTGATCGTTGGCCAAGACCTTCGCCTCAGCACGCAGTTCACCAAAGCTGGCTTGGACCATGTCTCTGAACTGCTTGTGCAACGCTTCCTTGCGCCTGGCGGCATCCGCTCGATCCTCTGGGCTGACCACATCCTCGAGCTGCTCCATGCCGAAGAGCCCGCCGTCGCATCCTCTTCGATGACGATGGCGTGTAGGCGCCGCACTGCCGACTAACACTTTGCCATGGCAAGGTCCAGGCTCCTGATGTCCTGTAAGACGTCCGCTCGGGCCTCACCAACTTGCTGTACAAGTCGTTTACACTTGTCGATACATTTCGTGATCCTGGCCTCTGCGCGGTCCAGGAGCTCGTCTGCCTTTTCCACTAACACTTCGGTGTCTGCCTTGGACTGTCGGACGTCGTCAAATGTGGCCTGATAGGTAGTCACTGCTGTCTCGTCACCCGTGCTCTTCATGAGGTGCCTCTTCTCCTCCTCCTCCTCCTCCTCCTCCTCCTCCTCCTCCTCCTCCTCCTCCTCTATTCTCCTCTCCTCCTCCTCCTTCTCCTCATCTCCTCCTCCTCCTCTATTCTCCTCCCCTCTCCTCCTCCTTCTCCTCCTCCTACTACTCTCAACCTCCTCCTCCTCCTCCTCGCCTCCCCCCCTCCCCCCCCTCCCCCTCCTCCTCCCCCCTCCTCCTCCTCCTCCTCCTCCTCCTCCTCCTCCTCCTCCTCCTCCTCCTCCTGCTCTTCTACTCTCCTCCTCCTCCTCCCTCCTCCCCTCATATTCGCTGTCACCCCGTCCAAAAAGCGCAGGACGC